AGTTTCTGATAATGTCACTAAGACCTCTGAGACCTTAAACACCAAAGAACAAGAAGCTGACCCCCCCCCCCTTCCTAAACACTCACACTATTCTATTAGGTTAACAAAAGTAGAGTTCCCTAAGTTCAATGGCACAGACCTAATATCTTGGATCTTTAAATGCAATCGGTTTTTTTATCTTGATAATGTCAAGGATCCTGATAGGGTCAAACTTGCTGCTATTCATCTTGAGGATAAGGCCCTTTTATGGCATCAGACTTATTCTCAAAGAAAAAATCAGGTCTTGCCTAACTGGGAGGACTTTGTTAGGGATATCACAACTAGGTTTGAGGATTTATATGATGACCGAATGGCTGATCTGAAATCTCTTAAGCAGACTGGGAGTGTTTCAAGAGTATCATGATGCCTTTGATGCACTTGCTAGTAGGCTAGCCTGTCTGAACCATTCTTGCTAAGTTGCTACCTAGCTGGTTTGGAGGAAGATATTCAGCTCTCAGTAAGAATGTTCAACCCAACAAATTTGCAGCAAGCTTTATGCCTAGCCACATTGTAAGAAGCTGCCCTCAAGGCAAAGAAACCCAAACCACCTATTAAATAGCCACCCTTACTACCTACACCCAAACCAGCCCAGCAAATCACTCCCTATAAACCTACCTTTCCTTCAAAACCCAACCTATCAGAACCCTAAACACCAAAAGAAGAACCCTAACCCCAACCGAGTTTATTGAGAAAAGAGCCAAGAACCAATGTTTCTAGTGTGATGAGAAGTATGACGTAGGTCATAAATGTAAGGGAAAGAAACCCCGACTGTACCATATTGAGGTGGAGGAATCAGAAGATGAAGAAGGTGAAGTAATAGAAGTTGTGGAGCAAAACAGCTATCAATGTGCTCACATCTCTTTGTAGGCCATGGATGGGGTGTTATCATTCCAAACTATGAGAATAGAGGGTCACCATAGGAAGAAAAAGCTGCAGCTGCTGCTGGACAGTGAAAGTACTCACAATTTCATTGATGCAAACAAAGCATTAAAGCTTGATTGCAAGGTTGAAAGCGTAGCACCTCTATGGGTGAAGGTGGCTGATGGGAATGAGATCAAGTGCCATTAAATCATTAAAGGGTTCACTTGGAAGATGCAGGGTACTGTGTTCAAGGAAGATGTGCTCTTACTGCCCTTAAGTGGCAGTGACTTGGTGCTAGGGATTCATTGGTTCACCCAACTTGGTCCAGTCTTGTGGGAATTTAGCAATCTCACTATGGAATTCAAGTATGCTGGGAATAAAATTAAACTGAGAGGTGCTAGCCCAAAGAAATGGAAGGTGGTTAAACCAAAGAAACTTCAGAGAATTTTGAGCAGGGAAGGTACTTTATCAATGATCCAGCTCCTGCCATGTGATGCCCAGTTCTCACCTCAACCCACCTTTGAAGGCAATATCAACCCTCACCCCAGCCTGACACCACTTCTGGGTTAATATGAGGATGTCTTTTCACCTTCACAAGAGCTACCTCCAAAAAGGGAGGGTTTTGACCATGTTATGCCCCTCAAGGAAGGCACCAGTGATATTAATCTGAGAGCTTATAGGTATCCTGCTCTGCAGAATAATGTGATAGAGGAAATGGTGCAAGAGTTGCTAGATCAAGGTGTAATCAGGCCAAGCAATAGCCCTTTTGCAACTCCCATAGTGCTGGTAAAGAAGAAAAATGGCAGCTGGAGAATGTGTGTGGACTATAGGAGTCTAAACAAGGCAACCATCAGGGATAGGTTCCCTATACCTCTCATTGAAGAGCACCCAATTCTTCTATAATATAGACCTTAAGTCAGGCTACCATCAAATCAGAATGCACCCTTCAGACATTCATAAAACAGCCTTTAAAACTCACTTTGGCCACTTTGAATACCTGGTCATGCCCTTTAGGCTCACCGATGCCCCATCCACTTTTCAATCCCTTATGAACTACATCTTTAAACCTCTACTCATAAGGTGTGTACTGGTATTTTTTGATGATATCTTATTGCACAGCCCTAGCTACTTGGGAAGCTCATTTGAGAGACCTCAATCCTACCTTAGAAATCATGCAAGAAAACCAGCTCCATACCAACCTTAAAAAGTGTTCATTTGGTCTCAAGGAAATACACTACTTGGGACATATTATCTCACAGCAAGGAGTGGCTACTGATCCGGAGAAGGTGAAGGCTATGTTAGAATGGCCAAGACCTAAGAACCTCAAGCAGTTAAGAGGATTTCTAGGCTTAACAGACTACTACAGAAGGTTCATTAAAGATTATGAGAAGATCCGCAAGCCTCTCACTATGCTGCTGGGCAAAGATGGCTTTGGGTGGAATGTTGAAGCTAAGGAAGCTTTCACTCAACTGTAATAGGTCATAACCACCCCACCTGTATTGGCTATGCCTAATTTTGATGAGCCTTTTACCATAGAAACAGATGCTTCAGGGAAGGGAATTGGAGCTGTGCTTATACAAGATGGGCATCCTATCAATTTCCTAAGTAAAGCCTTAAGTGAAAGAAACAGCCTGCTCTCAGCATATGAAAGAGAGCTGTTGGCAGTGGTTTTTGCTGTGAGGAAATGGCAGCATTATCTGTTGGCTAAGCCCTTCACAATTAAGACTAATCAGCAGAGCCTTAAATATTTTCTTGAACATAAACTAGTTACGCCTTTGCAGCATAAGTGGTTGTCTAAGGTGGCTGGGTTTGACTATCTAGTGGAGTACAAGTCTGGCGCAGAAAACAAGGTTACAGATGCTCTATCTAGAATTCCTGAGTCCCAGCTCAATTCCATGATCAGTTCCAATGTCAACTCTGATTTGCTGGATCAAATTAAGCAAACCTGGATCTCTGATTCAAACACTTAGAGACTAATCTCAGAACTGCAGCGAAACCCAGGGTCACACAGACATTATGCTTAGGATCAACAATTGCTCAAAAGAAAAGAAAAGCTAGTGGTGGGATCAAATGAAGTTGTTCAGAAAAGAATTCAAGGCTGGCTACATGACTCATCTCAAGGTGGCCATTCTGGAGTAGAAGCTACCTATCAGAGAGTCAAAGCAATATTTTACTGGAAAGGCATGAAACAAAGCATCGAGCACTATATCAAGCAATGCAATGAGTGTCAAAGATGCAAGTATGATCCTACAGCCTACCCTGGGCTTCTCCAACCATTGACATTGCTTGAGCAAGTGTGGGAAGAAGTTACTATGGATTTTATTGAGGGATTACCCAACTCTCATGGGAAGCAGGTTATCATGGTGGTGGTGGATAGACTGAGTATGCTCACTTCATTGCCCTATCACACCCCTATTCTGCTCTAAAGGTAGCCCAGGCATACATAGGTCATGTTTTTAAGCTACATGGCTTCCCAAAATCCATAGTTTTAGACAAAGACAAGGTGTTATCAGTTAATTCTGGTCAGAGTTCATCAAGCTGCAGGGTGTACAGCACAAGTTGTCTACTTCTTATCACCCTCGGATGGACAAACTGAGGTCTTTCACAGATGCTTGGAGTCTTATCTTAGGTGCATGTGCCTAGAGAAACCCCAAGACTGGTCAAAATGGTTTTCTCTTGCAGAGTTTTGGTACAACACCAATTACCACACCTCAAGCAAGATCACACCATTTGAGATTTTGTATAATCAACCCCCACCTATCCACAAGCCATACTTAGCTGGCTCATGTATGGTAGATGCTATAGACAGAAGCTTACAGCAGAGAAATGCAGTCCTTAAAATGCTCAAAGAAAACTTGTTCCGAGCTCAACAAAAAATGAAGTAGCTGGCTGACAAGCATAGATCAGAAAGGCAGTTTGCAGTTGGTGATTGGGTGTACGTATTTGAAACTGCAACCTTACAGACAAGCTTTTTTTCAGAACAATGAACAGCTCTCCCCAAGATACTATGGCCCTTACCAGGTTATGAAGAAGATTAGAGAGGTAGCCTATACACTCCAGCTATCCCCTTCTGGAAAAATTCACCCAACCTTCCATGCCTCCCTCCTAAAAAAGCACCATGGTCCCATACCTACCAACCCACACCACCTGACCTATCCAACATACATCATGACCAACCTATTCCTAAGGTACCTATAGCAGTGTTAAACAGAATGGGTGTGAAAAGACAAAACCATGTAGTTGTGCAATGGCTAGTGCAATGGGATCAATGGCCTGTTGAAGAAGCAACATGAGAAGATGCTGAGCAGATAGAGAAGGATTTTCCTACATTTGATCCTTGGGGTCAAGGATCTTTTAATGGGGGGAGTATTGATGCAATTACTGTTCTATTGAAGGATGAGCTGGTTGTAAACACTGCTGAATCAGCTGCTGAGTCAAGCAAGATGACAGAGGATCAGAATGAAAGGAAGATTGCTGAAAAAGGAATGACAGCTCAGGAAGATCAGGAGAATGGTAAAGGGAATAATCCCGCTAGCCGTTAGGGAGAGTACTATGATAGCCTGTCATTGTACCTACCTTTTTTGTCTTATTTTAGCATAATGACGTTACTCTGTTTTGGTAATGAGTCATCAATGTAAGCAAGGCTATTTAAGCCAACAATGATGTAATAGTTGGTATTATGTGATTTTGATGAAATTTCCCTTTGATCTTATCTATGTTACCTCTCTATCATCTCATTGCATTACTGTCATTATCAATTGCTTCCTCAAATTGCCCTGCTTTCCTCTTTGGCTAGTTTTCTGGTGTAATTGAACCAGCCTCCATTCTAAATTCCAGAATCAGGCTTGGATAGCTTAAGTAAGCGCATCAATAAGCGTTAGTCTTACTAGGCTTAGACAAGATTAGTTGAAGTTCGGAATAGGAGTAAATTCTTGAAATGTATTAGAGTCCTTGGTGAATATAAAAGCGTTTCCAAACACCATTTAACGGCGAATGTAATCCCTCAGTTTGGTTAGTTTGGTTTTAATTATTGATGTTTCGGGTGTTTGTGCAAAATTGCTTCTTGAACTATGCCATACAAATATTGAAAATGCCCTAGATTAATTCAGCACAAACAGAGAAATGTACTTTATTTTTCGGCGTCAGCACAAATTTTAAAAATATCATTGAAGAAATACAACAGATAAGTAAATTGTTAGTAGCTGACAACAGCCCGCATACTAGGGTAAATTACAGAAATTACAAACTAGGTACCAAAATGTTTTCAATTGAGACAATTTTTCATCACGTCAGTCCAGCTATAATAGAATCTTGAGATATGTAATGCTGAAATGCCCTGGGCTTACAAGAAAACTAGCCCTGACCAATATTATTGCAAAAGATTGGAAATAAATTTACTTCTTCAACAGCTGTGAAGAGCACTGAGCCATAATCTTTGATGCCCTTGTAATTGCATCAGTCATATAGAAATTTTCAATTGCTGCCTTGAAAGGAGCTGGATCAATCTCCTTCTTAACTTCAGGCTTTATCAAGGTAGAGAAAGTAGCTGGTTCTCGTTCTTCCATGCTCAATAAATTTGGTGCCACAGTTCTCATCCGTTCTCGGATATCAATAAGGGAATCATAAGGCAGACTTACTCCAGCAGTCTCAGACAAAGCCCTAATTATCTTCCAGTCATCCCTGGCATCACCAACAGTAGGAACTGCTGGTAAAGTTTGCTGCGTGCGTCCTTCTGTATTAGCATAGGTACCTTCCTTCTCAGAAAAAGCTGATGCAGGTAAAATGACATTGGCACGATATACACTCTGATCACCATGGTGACCCTGATATACAACAAAGGCATCACTATGGACTTTGTCCAAGTTGATATCATCTGCACCCATCAGATACAGAAACTTTGCAGACTCGATACTTTTGTCAGACTCTGGCACAAGACCAAGGTCAAGGGCAGCAGCTTGAGCAGCATTCAAGAGCAATACATTAAGACCATTCCAGTCTGGTCTAATGACATTTGCTGACTTTGCAATGGTTTCGACAATAGAAAGGATAGCATCCTTGTCCTCTCTCTCAAAGAGCCCAGCGCCAACAACAATAGCTGGCTTCTTAGCATTTTTTAAGGCTGAGAAAAATGAGTGACTGCCTTTGGCAATTTCTTGCAGGGTTTGTGGACCTGTGCCTAGATGTTCGTGGTCATAGTTGAATTCTGCAGCAGGTCCAATATAACCAACCTTGGCATGGTTTGCCCGTACAGCTTTCCGAATTCTGGCATTAACCATGGTAGCTTCAACTCTTGGCTGGGAACATTAAGCCCGAGGCTATGTAAGTAAATAATTCTTAACAATCAAAAGTAAATAAAAAGCAATTACCGATAAAAAAAAAAAGTTAGAGATTAGTATATATTTTCAGATCAAGTCATATCTAGACTAGTATATTTTTTGGAATACATAAATATTGATTAGCAAGATGAAAGTGTTGAACTGTCCAAACTCACGCTGTTGTCTTGAGGAATTGACATGGGCACTTGAGGAGTAAAGAAGAGTTATAGTACATGTTGTTCTGACCATTAGAAGAAACCAAAATTCTTACTGTGGTATCACCATCCTGCCCAGAGGGAGTAGAACTTTCAACTCCTATATATTTCCACTTGACAATATATAATAACCCAAAAGTAAATTCAAGATGCTAATATGATTTCGTTGTGGTTGGATTTAGTTAATACGATATTGTTGGCGATACATGGGTCATTCACTGATTCACATAATTAACAATGGGGTTTTGATGTTTAAACCACGATTGGAACCTGTTTAAATCTTGGAATTTCAAAGAAGCAAAAGCCTATGACTTATATATTACTTCAGATGAGATGGACCTTAGATTTCACCGATGGGACATGTGGATCAATCTAGACTTCTAGAGCAATGTCTTGGACAAAAAATCCCAAACCACATTATTTTTTTCAGTTTTGTCATTGATTAAGAAAGATCACAACTCATTATTATTTGGTAAAGACTAACAGAAATATGCTAAACCTTGAAAAGGTCACAGGTACATCAATGATACATAATAACATCTACTAGAAAAATTAAAGCAATAGTCAAGATTTCCCCTGCAACCACAGGGCTAATTATAAAAACACCCCCAACCCCTTTTTTCTCTATAATTTTGCACTAAAACACCATTTACTTGGTTACTATCAGGTTAAATACAACCTCCTTCCTGAATAGCATTGCATGAAGACTTTGGAATCAACATGTCATACACAAACGTCAATTTTGTAAATATCATACTGCATCACAAATTTCTTACTCGCAACCATATGGGAAGGGAAAACCAAGAAAGAGGTAAAGGTGAAGAGAAGTTTACCCCCATGATTAACCAACCCTTATTCTCATCTCTCTCCTCCCTATCCTTCTCCCTTAAACCCATCCTACCATAACCTCACCAGTAAAACCAGCAAAAGCTCATCCACTATCCACCTACCACCAAGCACCTTTCTACTAGTCTTCCTCTATTCCACCACCTCCCCTGAATGCTCTTTCCCTCCAGGTCATCGCCATTCTTGCCGGAGAAAGTCAAGAAAACCACCATCCATGACTACAATAATCGCACCACCAGCTCTATATTATCCATTCTCCCTTCCTCCATTTTAATTGATAGTAAAGTAGATCTACAATTAATCTTCTCTCTTGGCATTTTTTTGTGGCAAGTAACATCCATCTCTCTCTTCTTTGGGATCAATGGTGGTTGACAGTGATGGTGACGATGAGGGTCAAAGAGAGGAGCTTCATGTGAGGAAAATTGTCGGGTCTATCGGTTGTGATAGTGCGACGATGTGCTGGCGGTGGCTATGATTGAGGAAAGGGGTGCGATTAGTGGTGATTCGGGTGGGAGTAGTGGGTCTGATCGTGGTTGCAGTGAGTGTTGTAGGTCTGGTTGTAGTTGTGGAGAAGAAGGGGCGATGTGTGAGAAAGAGGAAGTAAGGGTAGGAATGACATTCTACCACTCAAACATTACCAAATTCAGTAAAGTTACAAGTCATTTGACATTTCCCTAAAAGGAAAGCGTTGCGAGGAAGAAAAAAACAAAGTGTATATATATATATATATATGGGTTAGTTTTCTAACTTCTCCCACACACACAAATGACACAATGCTCTTTTACTAAATACTAATAGCCCTGACAAATGAAGTTTAGGGACAAAAAGTAAGAAAAATAATCACATACCTGGGTGCCAATGAGAAGGAAGACATCTGCATTTTCAATATCAGCAATGCTAGTGTTCAAAAGATATCCAGAACGAAGATCGGCTTGTGGCTGCCCACCATTTCCTTCACACCAAACATTATTAGATCCCATCTTGTTCATGAAATCCTTCAGTGCCATCATGGACTCTGCATCAGACAATTTACCAGCAACACCCACAATTTCTTCTGGTTTAACCTTGTGCATAACCTCAGCAATCACATCAAGGGCATCACGCCAACTGACAGCTTTAAAACGTCCATCCGACCCACGGATCATAGGGTCATTTAACCTTTGCCTCTTTAGACCATCATAGCAGAATCGTGTTTTATCTGAAATCCATTCTTCATTGACGTCCTGCATTATTGCGGTACATGGTCACGACACAACAACATAGGTGAATACTTTGAGCAAAAGTGGATTTAAAAAATCCTCAAAACTTTGTGGAGGTAGTTTTCAACAGGCCCTCACATTCAAAGAAAACATTACAGGACCAGTACAGATTGGTCAGGACCTACTAACAAATGAAAAAAAATATCATGCCCAAGGAAACAAGGGTAAGCTCAATTTATGTGCTAAACAGTTTGTCTGCTAAAATATGGTGAACATTCTACAAGTTTTGGTACACATCACGTAATCACATGATTAAAATTTATAATTAAAAAAAAAAAAAAAAAAAAAAAAAAAAAAAAAAAAAAAAGAGGACCAGGAATCCTCCCATATATTGAAGAATAATAAATAATGCATTTTGACAACACTATATCAAACAATTGAAGCCCCTCATAAGGGCCCCTGTTCACTAACATCAAATGGAAACAAGGTAGACCGAGACCAAGACAAAGTGGAAAAACAGTATAGTGATATACAATCAAGAGTACCTCATTGAGTCGTGGAATGATACGCATCACTTCTGGTCCTCTACTATCAATTCGTATGTTCGACCCAACAGCATCAGTGACATCAACACTCTCAGTTGGCTTTAACTCCCAATTACGGGCCTTAAATGCAAAAGGTTTTGAAGTAAGGGCTCCAACAGGGCATATATCAATCACGTTGCCAGACAACTCACTTGTCATAAGCTTTTCAACATAAGTCCCAATTTCCTCACCACTACCACGGCCTAACATGCCAAGATCCTCAGTTCCAGCTACCTCACTGGCAAATCTGACACATCTGTTCAACATATCCAATGTATGATGAGAATATGCCACATGCCGAATAGCTTGGACAATGAAGACAGAATTAAGGTTGCCCAGTTTCATGCATTTCATGTAAAGACACTATAAAAAACATTCCAATGAGTGGGGAAATTATTCGTGGTAGAAGTTGATAATATACAAGCAGATGTGATTCCAAACTACATAGTGTGTTTATTTTTAATCCCAAAAATTTAAGGGGGCATTTGGCTAGCTATTTGCATATAATTAAAGAGGGAGGACGGAATGAAAAACACCCACATCCTTCATGTTGTTTGTTCAAAGAGGAAAAAAAAAAAAAAAATCTAGCTTCCACAACTATCACCCATCTACAACCACCACCAACACCACCATCTCACACTTTCTAACATAGAAAAGCAGATAAGCACCAACTGCTATTGCCGCAGCAACATAGAGGTTTAACCACCACCACCATCTTCCCAATTTTTTCATTTCTCACTCAAATCTAGTTTTGTAAGTGGATGGGGAGATGGGGTGGGTTTTCGATGGTGGGTAGGAATTTTTCAGGGATGAGTGGGTGGGCTGTGGGGTGGAGTATCAGTGGTGAATTGGTTGTTATCAGATGTGGGAGGCTGATGAGGTTTTCGGCAATGTGTGGGTGTTATTGTGGTGGGTGAATGGTTTGGAGTGTGGTTAAAGGTGATTTCCGATGAGTTGGGATGGATTTCTATGGTGTGGGTGATTTTGAGGAGTTAGGTGAGGAAGCGTCATTGGTAGTGATAGGGTGGTGGAGTGTTCAAAAGGAATGGTGAGAGATGCTCAAAAGCGCTGGTCAAGGTTAGTTGGATGTAAAGGAGTTTGGGATATAGGAAGATTCTCATGGGAGGATGGGAAACATGGTAGAGGAAAATGGGGGAAACATAGGGTATAAAGAAAATGATAAAAGGTTTTAACAAAGAATAAGAAAGAAAATCAAGGTTGTTGATTGTCTATCTATTTATCCAAACCCCCAAAACAAACGCCCCCTAAGCGGCACAATCATAAACCATATGAACCAAGCATTTATAGCTTCTGATTATATTTAGTTGGTTAAAAGAATATATTGAGTTGACATTAAATTGATTGCTAACTTGGCGTAGCTTGCAGCTCATGCTAGACCAGATTCAATACTACTATACTAGCTTAATTGTGTTAGATAATTTTATTTCTAATTAGATATTTAGAAACCTCTAAAGGCAATCGTACTATCTTCATTTATGTCCTTTTCATAAAGCATCTCATCCATATGTAAGATTCAGCCCATCCAGGTACTTCTTTGACACTCTAGATAGAAGCGTCAAGTATGTTCAAAACAAGTAAATCAATAGGATAAACAGCGTGAAGATAGGCTGAAGGTAATTACTGACCTTGTACACTGGATACACCGAGTCATAACTGTTTTGACAAGTGGGCCCAAGTTCTTATCAACCACAGCTCTTTTTGTTTCAGTAAAGCGACCCCTATCAGAACCAAAAGCCATAGACTGATCTTGGAGGTCACACTCTCCTCCCTGATCACAAATTGGACAATCAAGAGGATGATTCATAAGCAAAAATTCCATTACTCCCTCCCGGGCCTTCTTGGCTATTGGTGTATCCGTTTTTATCTTCATCCCTGCATTCAATGATCATAAGAAAATAAATAAATAAATAAAACTAAATAAAAACTAAATACACTCCACATAGAAGAACTAACAATAGCATCTACAAAGTCTAAACCAAAGCATCAAAAGATTAAAAAAATAATAGTTGACCCAAAGGAAAAAAGGTCTGAGGATACCGAAATACTACAGAATAGACTAATAAAGAGAATAGATGAAAAAAGATTACTTAAATTAAGAAACCAATTGCAAAAATTGCAAGCAAATGAGATTTTAATTTAACTCTCTAGCTTATGACCAACTAACCAACCAAATCACAATTTCCCATCACATAAACCTTGTAACATTAATCATGATTTCCATTAACACTTAGGGAAAGTAAAAATTATATATTGTTTTAGATCTCCAGCCTCTATCTAAATTTTCGCTACCCCCTTTCCCCCATTGGGACAAAACTTCGTAAGTTTGTAATATGGTCAAACCAAGATAGACCAAGCCACTTTGTATGTTTCATGAATATTACGTAGTATAAATATTTGAGAAAGTCCTAAAGCAATACCCAATATATTTATAATAAAGTTCCTCCTGTCTCCCAAATTTCAAAACAAACAATATACTTGTATAAATCCTCAGCCTCTATCCTGTCACAAAATTATTGATGTTTCGCAATTTCGATCAATGTACCTTTATAACCTATCTTTCCAAACCAACCATAGCATAAATCTACCAGAAATCAAAACCACCACCACTTAGTTGAATTAACAAACTTTACCTTCCCAAATATACCCGGCAAAACAGAATATATCTACAAGAACACGGCTTTCTCCGACCAAGTTTGTTTCCTAAAGCAGACACCCCAAAATACACTACAACATTTTGATATTCAAATTATTCTCTGATCAAATCTCCGACGATAAACATTTGCACATTTCAAACCAAACAGAATATAATCCTTCTAGTTTTTCGATAACTAAAGCTTCACACACCCTCCAAATTCAAACCAAACATTGCATAAATTTACAACCCTCGCTACAATTAATTCCAAAAAAATTCTTCATTAATATCAAAACAATAAACATTTCCCTTAAATTAATTTCTGATCATATCTCCTCATAAATATCAAAACGATAAACATTTCCGCATTTTAAATCAAACAGCATATAAACTTCTAATTTTTCAATTTCAAAACCTCTAAACCCAATTAACAACCAAACATTTCGTAAATTCACAAAATACTCCCGATCATTTCATACAATACCAACGAACATTTCCAAAAACCATCAAATCAAAATACAGATTCAATCGAAATCAACAACAATCAAAAACCAAATTACCAGGAAGAGCGGGCATAGCGCAAGAAGCAACAGGTTTAGGAGACTTCTCAACTTCAACCAAACACATACGACAATTCCCAGCAATCGAAAGACGACTATGATAGCAAAACCTAGGAATATCAACCCCAGCAACCTCACAAGCCTGAAGAACAGTAAACCCCTTAGGGATTTTGACGGCGTAACCATCGACAAAGACTTCAATGGCGTCTTCAGGGTTAGGGAAATGAACACGAGCGTTGTTGACGGGAGGACGAGGAGGTGGTGCAGGAGGATCTGGGGTGGGTTCAGCGGCGGCGGAAGCAGTGTTGTTGAGTTCAGGGGTCGAGACGATTGTGCGGATGAGAGAGAAATTGTGGGATCTGGTGGTTGTGGTGTGGAGGATCCGACGAATCATTGCTCGAGATGTCAATGAGCTTAACCCCATTGTTTTTGAGTTTCTGGGTTTGTGATTCTCTGATTATTTGTTGTGTGTCTCTCTCCTCCTTGTTCAGGGAAATGATGAGACTGGTTTGGTTTTGTATGTGGGTTGTGGTGAGTAAGTGTGGAAGACTCGGGGGTGTCTTGATTGTTCGTGGCCATCGTGGGCTTATTTGGGCTTCTGAGAATATGTGAAGGAGCGCGTGTGGATATTTTGCTTAAAAAGTAACTACCATTTTTGTTTGATATATTTTTGTAATTTTTTGTTTTTTTGTTTTTTTTTTTTTCAAAATCATATGATATACTCCGTATGTTATATAACAAATCAAAAATTAATCAAAATAATTAAAATTGTGGTGATTTTGAAAATTGATAACAAAAAAAGTGGAAACACTTTTTCTTTTTCTTATTTTTAGTTTTATGTTTTCAAATAAACAGAAAAACTGAAAAACTGAAAACAAAAAATGATACCAAACAAATCGTAAATGACCAAAAACTTTGAGTAACACTACCTCTTTTACGAAAGGAATAGAAAAGAAAACAAGTGTATCTCCTAACTAAGAAAAATTTATTAATTATTACCTCAAAAAGGGGGCCTTTGTGAAGTACTACCGTTAAAAAAATAAGTTGTTAATTACTACCCCTAACACTAATTAATTCATCTAAATTGTAATTAGTAGCTTTTAAACCTTAATTAATTAGATAAACCCTTGCACCACATCCCTCCTACCATTACACCACCTCCGGTGGCCCCCCTTACCACCTCCGACAACTCCCCACCGTGAAACCTACCCCCCGAGCTCGATCCCCCACCACAAAACCCACCCCTCCTGTTCCCCACCACAAAATCCACTTCCTCACGTTCCCCCACCATGATTCCCACCTCCTTTCCACTTCCCCGACGCAATTCCTACCCCCTCCCCTTCCCCCACCATGAAACTCATCCCTCTCCCGTTCCCCACAACGAAACATAGCCCCATCACGTGGTGGGGCTGTTTTTGGGGCTTGTGGAAGGGGAAGGGCAATAATCGGGGTTGGGGAAAGGGGAGGGGATGGGTATTAAGGGTTAGGGCAAGAGAAGGGACGGTAATTGCGGGTGGGTTTCGCGGTAGGGGAACGGGATAGGTGAGTTTCGTGGTGGAAGACCAAGAAGGGGTGAATTTCGTGGTGGGAGAGCTGTCGGAGGTGGTAAAGGGGGGCTGTCGGAGGTGGTGTGGAGGTGGTGCAAGGGTTAATCTAATTAATTAAAGTTTAAAAGCTACTAGTTACAATTTGACCAAATAATGATATTATTAAGAGCTTAAGTAGGCTGATTGGGGAAAAAGGTAATAGTTGCTAGAATTATTCAATTTTAGGGGTAGTAATTAACAACTTTTTTTTTAGGGGTAGTTATTTACAAATGTAATACCTCGTATTTTTATATGTATATTAATTTAAAGTATTATTTTACGACGTATTTAAATAATTTGATATGAATTATTTGTGGTATTTTAATAATTAAAAAGGTGTATTTTAATTAAAAACCAATTATTATTAATTTATTAGTTTTGGAAACATTTTATGTTGTCTTTTAGAAATTTTGGGGCATGTTTTAAATCTTAAAAGAGTTTTAAAGTCAAAAGAATTTTATTAAAGTCAACGTACCAAGTTGAGTGGAAGTGGGAATTATTAAGAGCAAAAGGGGAAATTCAAGTAGAAGAGGGTTTAGAGAAGACTATAAATACTCACCTAAAGGCAAAAATCAGATTTCTACCCAAGGTGATAATCCCAAAGAGGTAAACTCTCTCTTTCTCCTTTTAATTTTCCTCCTTAATTTCCCCTTCCCCTTTTTTTAACACCACACACGCACCACTACACACCACCACATGGTGACCGGTTGCCGCCACCACCACCAGTCGGCCGCCACCGGCGATGGGGCGGGGATGGGGATAAAAACCATACCCGCCATGGGTGATGGGGCAGGGGTGGATTTTAGGTTGTACCCGCCCCATTAGGGATGTCGGTGGGGCGGGTCAAGTAGGAGACCCGCCCCATCCCCGCCCCAATGGGGCGGGGATGGGTCTCGGTTTGGCGGGTGGTGGGGCGGGGATGGGGATAAAAACCATACCCGCCATAGGTGATGGGGCGGGGGTGGATTTTAAGTTGTACCCGCCCCACCCGCCCCACTTCGTACCCGCCCCATCCCCACCTCATACCCACATCTATATATCTTTTAAAGCAAAATTACATACTTTTATTCTATTTATAAAATAATTACATGAAATAAAATATTAGTTATAGTACTTTGTACGACACTTATATTATAACACAAAAATGTGTATAGAATGTTTTATTTTATAATTCGTATTAATTATGTAAGATTGTGTATTTGAGATACGGATATTAGGTGGATCTTGGGTGGGGATTAGGCGGGTCTTAAGTGGGGATTAGGTGGGGATAGATATCCAAGTGGGGGGTGGGGCGGGGATGGTTTTGGAGTTGTACCTGGTGGGGCGGGGATGGGGATGAAAATTGGACCCGCCGCGGGGATGGGGATGGGGATGGGAATGAAAATATTAAGTGGGGATGGGGATGGGAAGGCCAACATCCGCCCCGCCCCGACCCATTGACATCCCTACGCCCCATCCCCACCTACCCCACTTCGAACCCGCCCCATCCCCACTTCCATATATTTTTAAAAACAAAATTATATACTTTTATACTATTTTATAAAAAAAAATATGTAAAATAAAATACTAAATGTAATACTTTGTAATACACTTATATTATAAACAAAAAAAATGTGTAATAGTAACAATAATTTTTTTCTTTTTGCAATTTTTATTACTTATGAAGGATTGTGTATTTGGGAGGCGGGGATTAGGCAGGGGTGGATATCCAAGTGGGGGTTGGGGTGGGGATGATTTTGGAATTGTACTCGCCGGTGCGGGGATAGAGATGAATTTTAGACCCGCCGCGAGGATGGGGATGGGAATGGGGATGGGGATGAAAATTTTAGGTGGGGATGGGGATGGGAAGCCAACATCCGCCCCGCCCCGCCCCATTCACATCCCTAGCAGCAGCCGCGGGGAGGTAGCAGCGGCTAGACCTGGCAATCCTAACCTAGACCCGATGACCCGACCCATGACCCGAAATTGACCTGAAAACAATGACCCAAAACCCGAAATTGACCCGACCTGACCCATACCCGACCCGATGTGGACTTAACCCGAAACCCGAAGTTGACTCGACCTGACCCATACCCTATCCAAAGTTGACCCAATACCCGAAGTGACCTGATCCCGAAATGACCCGACCCGAATTTGACCCGATACCCGAAATGACCCAACCCGAATGGACCCGATACCTGAATTGACCTGACCCGATTTTAAGCCGAATTAATTGACATGAAAATACCCAAAACCCAATATGACCCGAACTAAAACTACCCTATACGCAAAATGACCTAAATCGATTTTAGCCCGTATTACGTGCGCGACCCAAACATGCCCAAATCGAAATAGCTTGAACCAAACCGACTTGGTTATTAAAACTTTGTTAGTAATGTGTAACATTGTAAGTGAATAATTTACATATTTTTTGTATTCCTTTTCTTGGATCTTTTTACCATTGTGTTTAAACTTATAACAAATTGGAAAAACGATTGAAAATTAATGGCCATACTATAAGATCCATACACCAAACTTGTGGAGTTTCACCACAAGATTAATAAAAAAGTTACTAAAATTTTAGTGAAAAATTGTATGTAAAAATAAACTTGAAAATTAAGCTCCAAAATATTTAGTTCAATAGCAAATTAATGCTAATTAGTCACAACTTTCACAAGTGTTAAAATAAAAGTGGTACAATAATTTCTACGTCAACATGTACATAACAAAATGTTCAACATTACAAGTTCTAATTGACAAAGATAGCAACCAAACTTATATTCTAACTACCGTACTCCAATATTCCACCCTAAAATTGTTGACATCAAGCACGTGTTTCGGTTGGAGCCCAATCCACTTAAGAACCAACGAATCCATTATCTTCATCATTTGCTACATAAACATAAAAACAAAAATTACTATAAATTTACAAATATAACGTAAAATATATAATTTAAAACCAATAATATAATCAAATACACTATAAGTGCAACAATAAAGGTATACATATGTTAAAATATATATATATATATATATATATATATACTTACTTTCATAAGAGAACATCCAAAAAGCTAATATGTCAAGCTTCGCCGTTAGATCAAGTTTAGGGTGAAAGGAATTGTGTCCTTCCAACAAGTGTATTATTCCGATAGAGGGTTCAGAATTATTAGAAAACTAATTCTTCCATAAGGTCAAGAGATCGGAATGCCTAGGTGGAGGCCGCTTGCGATCAGTAATATTAATGTACAATTAATATTACAATTTAATCTTGACTGAACCCTTCGGGTCGAACCTAATTGAACAACCGATCCGAGACGACGAATCAATCTGAAGGATTTGATGAGTCATCAGAGTATTACGAACAAAGACGTCGGATATCGAGCTTAGAGAGTCGAGACCGAGCGTCGCAAGTCGAGTCGAATTTAGAATTCGACGAGATGTGAAATCAATCAAGCAACAAGTTCGAGCCTAGGCGAGCCTCGCATTGGCCTAGCCATGTGCACTACTAGAAATAGGCCGTTCCGACGGAATCGTTCCGATGGACCTAAATTCGATCGGAAAATTTGAACTTTCCGACGGAATTAAGGTCTGTCAGAAAATTCCGTCGGAAAAGATACGTTACGACTGAAAATCCATCGGAATTCTTGCGACGGAAATTATTAATTCCCTTGGAGCTATAAGCTTCCGACGGAATATTCCGTCGTAACTTGGGTATTCTGACGGAATTAAATCCGTCGAAAATTTCCGACGGAATATTCCCTCGGAAATCCCAAATATTCCGACGGATTAATATTTCGTCGGAATCTTAATTAAAAAAAATGACTCTGCTTTAAAACCCAAACCCTAAAACAGCCCAAAAGCCCCCCCCTCATTTCCGCCACTCTCCTTCCCCTTTCTCCTTCTCTTTCTCTCTCCTCTCCTCTCCTCTTTCTCTGTTCCTCTTTCTCCTTCTTTCTTTCTCTGTTCTTCGTTCACCTTCTTTCTCCTTCGTTCTCTTTCCTCTTTTCCTTTTTCGTTTTCTTTTTCGTTCTCCTTCATCCTCTTTTCCTTTTTCGTTTTCTTTTTCGTTCTCCTTCATTTTCGTTTCCCGTTTCGTTTTCTTTTTCGTTGTCCTTCATTTTCGTTTTCTTTTTCGTTTT